GATCACCCGATGGACTGCCCGACCGACTCGTATAGTGGACAACATCTCCGTTGTCCACATAAACAGCCCAATGACTGAACAAATTTCTTTTTATTTCAATGAGATCTCCTTTTTGTGGTCTTAATTGATCCGCTGATTGATAATTATTACACAAAACACTGCTTATAATTATTATAACAATTATAATTATAAGACTTTTCATATTTTCACAGAGAATTAGATTTAATAATTTATACCTAAAAGTTTTGTTCATATAATAAGTTAATTTATAAAAAATATAATTTAATTTTTGTATGAAATACTGACAAAAAATCGGTTCAATTCATAAACTAATTTTTATTTTATTTTAAATATTATTATCAAAATAATTTATTGATGAATATTTATTTTTCCGATTTTTAATCACATTAAAACTTAAATAAAATTATATATTTTCATTTAGTCAGCAATAAATAGCTGGATTTCAGCCAATATCTAATTATGTAATCAAAAATTACTAAAATATATTAAAATAAATATAATTAAATATAATGTTTACAAATGAGCCTCAAATACAGAGCTAATTAATTAAGTTTTTATTTTTTGTCTCAATGTCTGTCAAAACGTTCATTAAATTAAATTCACTTTTGAAGTACTCTTTCCTCAGTGTTTGACAGACATTAAGACACATATCGTTTGAATCAACAATTTTACCACATTTTCTCCGCAATTTGATTACTTGATTCAATACAGACTCCACCGCCCGGAGAGAGGTCTTCACCCGATGCTTATCATCCAATGAATCGGTGGTTATAGACATCAATCCATGGCTTAGACTTCGCACAAAACTATAGGTGTCTCTCCTCTGATCGTCAAAGCATTTGTCCAATCGTTTCCCATATTCCTCGACATCTAAATCACTTCCATGGCATTCAACTATAAGATTATAATTAATTTGTCATTTAATTTGAATTTGAATCATTGTTTATAAATTTACCATTTAATACAATAAATATCGCAATAATAATTGTTAAGCCTATGATTTTCATTGTGTTTTAAATTAAGCAAAACTTATATAAATTGTCAATCATTATTTATATCTACTCAACATCGATGTAATTAATGTTTTAAATTATTGTAAATTTTTGTTTTGCATACAAAACGTGATGAACTGCTAATTCCCTAATTATACAAAAATTTGTTGAATTATTTTTTACTATTTCGTGATTTTTCTTTAATTATCATTTCATTAATTAATGTGTTTTATAATAGTTTTATAAACACATTAATTACGGATAATTTTGCAAATTTAATGATTGCATAATCTGTTATATAAACATACAGACCATGTTAATATGGACTACAATATAAGCCAACTCTTACAAAATAAATAACATTATGATCCATTTATATTTTCATTGGAAAATAATAATTTATTAATTAAAATAAACTTAATGCTCAATTTATTAATTGTTTATTAGCTAGAAAATTATAATTAAATAAACAGATGAATTTTACAAATTAATTAAATTCAATACAAAACAAAACATCACTTACTAATATAAAATTATCTTGTTAGAAATAAATATTATAATTTAATAAAATTGAATTAGAATAATTAGTAGATTTAAGGCTTAAAATAAATTCATATTAAATTAAATACTTTAATCAAAACAAATGAATTTATAATTGAATAGCAGTTTCGGGAGATTCCTTCACACGCTGTTCATCCTGTTGTTCATATCTGTCGACGACAAGCATCAGCTGAAACACAGTCAACGCATTCTTCGCAAACTTTTCGCTCAATTTCTGGCATTCGGTGAGACAGAAGTGGTGTCGACTTATATCCCGACACTTGTCGTACAAATCGTTCATTTCGGTCAACGATTGCCGAAAGTGACTGAGAGTTGTGTTGAGGTAATCCTTTTCGGAGCTGAACTCGCGGTTCAGATCCAGTGATCTTTGTTTCACCACTTCGTAGAAGTACTCGACATCCTTTCGGTAGGCTTTGAAACACTCTTTGGCGCTCTTCTTCAGCTCTTGTCGTCTCCAATTGGATCCAACGTTTGGCTCTTTTGGGGATAATTATTGGTTTTTAGTGTAATAGTTATATAAAAATTTTAGAACAGGATTTTATACCAATTAATATAAATAATACCAATAAAATAGCGCTGAAAATTATAATACACTTCATTTTGCTATACAAATAGCAGTTTAAACGAGTTTCAACACTCAATCAATGAAATGATTAAAAACCAATCCATTTATATATTTGTGTAAAAATCTAATTTTCTGTTATTTTATAAAATAATTGTTTTGTTAAAAAATACATTTAATTGCTAAACATAATATCAAATAACTTATTATATTTGATATATCATTATATTTGGTATTTAACAAAATTTTAGGAACTTTTCATAATTTTTATCATCATAAATCCATTGATTATTGTTTTCGTTTATTTTAAACAAAATATTTATGTTTCCTAATTATAAATATTAATATAATTTTAATGAGGAATATAATTATAACTTACGAATATTTTTTAAACTACTGTTAATTCATCTTTACTGCACATAATTATTATTAATAAAACAAAACATTTGTCTTATTTAGTATAGAATTAAGTAATAATTGGATATAAATTGCTTTTATATGTTTGCAGAGAAATAAAACTAGAAAAAAGAAATAAAAGTCAATTTTATTAATTGATTGTGTTTTGATGTCAAATTAAGAAAATGTTAAATTGGGGCTCAAAATAGATGTAATCATTGAGTTCTCCATTCAATGCAATAAAACCAATCAATGCTCACAATTAGGACTGATATTGGAGTCCACATATAATATCAAAATTCTTTGCAGACCTTTATATTTGATTTTTCCAGATATATGTTTCATTGGATTTTCTTAATATTATTTGAGAACTCAATTCATTTCTTATACAGTACTTCATAATATGATAATATAATATTAATAATATTATTATTTTGTTATTATGTATACCATTCTGAAAATTATTTATTGATCATATTTCAGTTTATTATATTATAGCTAATTTATAATATATAATAGAATAAAATATTGTATTTATCTGAATTAAGTTCGTTTTGTAAAGATATATAAATATAATCAAACAAAATCATTCAATGTTTAAAATTTATATAATATTTAATGAATTATTGATTAAACTATTTTCTATTTAAAGTCACTCACAATTGGCTTAATTTGCATTCAATTCATTTTATATTCATTGAAAAATAAATCTCATTTTTATAGCAACTGTTCCTCTCTTTGAGACACAGAATAAACTTTATTTGCAACGAAAAAAATAACAACAATTAAGATATACTTGAAATGCAGGCAAACAAACAAAAGTAGTTTTTGGAGAAAATAAAATCCAATTTATTATTTCAATAAAAAACACATGTTTTGTTAAGAAATGTAAACCGAAAGCACGGATAACTTAAACTGAATTTGAGTTCACATTTTTTTCTATATTAACGAGCATTGAGTTAGAAAATTGTTGGCAAACTTTCTTACGGCTAAATCTTGTTGAAAGGGATTTATCCACAAAAACACATTACATGTTATGTACAAAAAATATTTGTTTATTTTGTGAGACAAAACAAAATTTTCTCACACTTTACACATAAAATGGATATTTGTAAATAAATTCTATAAAAGAAATAACTTTTTTCATAGCTAACGTTTAAATGGTCAATAATTTTATATTATTTTTATTTTTATTTTTGCAAATCTAATTCTCACTGAACTCTTAATCAAAATTGATATTTAAAATGTGCAGACATTTGATGCATTCATTCAAAAATAATCTATTCATATGTTTATTGAATACATTCTATAGTAATTCCAGACTTTATATCATACTCTTTATAACTATTACTGCATTACTCCCACAACTGGTATATTTATTAATACATAATTATTGAATTATACCTGAATATTATATGAACTGTAAATGTATACACATTTAAAGTAAATATAAGACATCACATAGAAAATACATTCAACGCATTTATATCAATATCTAATGTGATACAACAAAAGTCAAAACTAAATTGAATTAAAGGTCATGAATATCAATCAAAATCGTATCAAATCACAGCTTAAGCTCTGTTGGATGTAGCGTTGTCACAAATATTTATGCATTTTCTGGAATATATGATAATTTTGCGCAGAATTCCTGGATTTTACTTTGTAATTACTACAAAAACAAACATTTTTAAAAGTTTGTAATATAACAGCTATTGTGTTATAATTATAGTAATTTTAGATATTTAAAAAATGTTGCATACTATTTTTAACGATATCTCTACCCATCAACATAAACCTACAGTTTGCTAAATACCAATTTTTGTAACATATTTATGCAAAATTTAATTCCTGGATTTTTCAATGTCTAGGAATTACCCCTCTTTGGACTCTCCAAAACTTATCCATTTCTCTGATAATCCAGGACGTTCCTAGACGGCTGGGAATCCTAATTGGATTGTATATAATTAATCGGGTTTAATGATATATTTTATAAGCAATACTATAGTATACTTTACTTTATAAAATAGGTAAGTTATGTTCACAACTTTGCATTTACTTCAAGTAAATAGACATTTTTAATTTACACACTAATGCATTGACAATAAATGTCGGATACTATGTATTAACACAATTGATGCCAATCTCTATTGTAAACATCCTTGATGCTATTTTGGAACACACTTTAATTGATTCAATTTGTATCTTGTATTGTATTCGTTTACTTTATGTAATTTATTTAATGTAAAATATATTATGTATTTTATTACAATCTACAATTTGCAACAGATTGAAATTAGTTTAATGAATATATGTATTTTATCTTGTTTAGTATCTTGTTAGATAATATTTAATGAACATTTTCTATTCAAAATTTAAATTATAACTTACGATATAACACTTCGATGTTATTTAATCACTAACCAAGTATTAATATTAAATACAGTGATACAATTTATTATTTATGCTTAAAACTTAGTTTTCCAAATGAAATAAAATATCAAATATAATAAAGGATTTATGAAAAGTCTGCTAAAGATAAATAATTCAAAATATTTATCTAGAGCATTAAATTTATACTAATTATAACTAAAAACAAAATTATTTTCAAAATACAATTTATCTTATTTTAATATTAATAGAAAAAATCCAATTATTAATGCCATTCGAGATGGAGATGAAAAGGAAAACCTGTTGCTATGGTTAAAGAGCACATGTTTGCCACACATTCATACAAAATTACCATTATGTATTTAATACCATCATTACGCTCATAATTACAAAGCATTAAGTAAATGAAAAATAGTGATACATGGTAACATGTTAGCAAAATATGCTAAATAAGTACGGCATAAGTCTTAATCAATATTTAAAATAATAAATCCAAATTGTTTCTAGGTAAAGTTATATATAATCTTTGCGCATATAATTGGTTTATAGCGTTGAGAGAATGTATGATTTTGACAGACAGTGTATGCCTTAAAGCATCATAAAAATTGTGCTCTAGTTTTCATTTACCCAATACTACAGTACTATTACTGCATTAACTGTACGTATTGTGAGTTATTAGAAATAACAAAATGTATATTACATGACAACATCTGGGCTCACAAATTGTCAAACCATTCAAATGCCTGAATGTTAATCTCAATTCAATGACTAAATTAATGTCAGTAAACGTTTACGGACTAAGCATTTAAATAATAGTAATAATAATTTATTATATATGACAACCGCAATGACATCATATCATCCACTTGTTTGCACCGAGAGTTTTCATTTTTTAACATTTTAACTATTATTTCCGGACCGATAAGCCGTAATCATTTTTGTACTTACAAATACTTGTTAGAGTATTGCCCAGGGTATTATTTCACTTACGATTTAAGTTTGTCACCTTTTTTGTTCATTTTTTTATAGTGTATGAGTTAATTATAATGATACATAATACCTTAATCTATTTGTAAAATTGGTTCACAGAATTATATACAAATACGATTACATTTATAGAAATATTAACTTATGATTTGTTAAATCAAAAATATAGATTTACTAATTATGGTTGAAATAACAAATTCTATTTAGATTGAATATACAGTATTAGTAAGATTAGGTGCAGTTGTACTCTCACTGCTAATACTGTATTAGTTATACAACAACAAATGCAGAGAAATTGTTTTGTATTGAATGAAACTATAATATCTTTGATAACATTTTGTATTCATAACACAAAATCCTTTTCCATAATAATTGTAATCAAAAGAAACGATTGTTGTTTTGTGTTGTTTTGACTTTTCTCATATTTTCACATTTTTATTCTGAATCTATTTTGAGAATACAATCACATATAATATACACTATAGACCAGCAAAGCTAACAAATACGTTTTTCCCATAAAAAATGTTTTGAGTCAATCATTATAAACGTTATAATGTTTGACTAAATATTGTGCCCTTAAATTGAAAGCATACTCATATTATTCACCCTTCCTT